CCTAGCCTCACGCACGGCCCTCAGATTTTCTGTGTATCCGCCTCAAATTCCGCCTGCGACCGATGGAGTCGGCTTCAGAGGGGAACTCTTCCCTTTTCAGTACGCTCTCCTCAATTTGTGGCTTCCCTCGTGTATCGACGACTTCGACGCTCTCGAGCATGGCGCAGAAATTCTGGTTCCGTTGCAGTGGACAGGCGAGGCACCTTAATTTCTTAGGATCACAATTATAAGTGATCTGCGATACCACACTGATCTCCTCCCAGTGCCTGGAAGCAACCACCATCGGAGACTGCAAGGTGAGCTCCTCAGACTTAGCCATTTTCGTCTCAGTCAACCAGAATCGTGTTCGATGCGCCCTCCGACCTCTGTGCAGCTGATAGATCGGGTGTCATTCGGTTCGCCACGATCAGGTCCCTGGAATTCAGTTTGTTTCCGCTCTAATTTTATCTGTGAGTTATCGGAGAAAAATCCGCTACACGAGGATGCAAGGTCCGATGTTACCTGGCCCCAGGAATTATTGATTCGTCCATCGATGCTTTAGCGAGCTTAATTCTGCTTTGTCTCACGTCTCGATGCGCTTCACTCTCGCTTGAGGAGGACGTGCTCTATCTATTTCGATGGCACGCCCGGGAACGTCCGCAATCGAGACCGGCTCGGGCTCTAGTCTCATCAAGCTTGCTCCGGGGTTTCGCGATGTATCTGATACGGCCATTCGCCTCTCCAGCGATATGGAACATCAGGTCCAACATGTAGTGTTTTGCCTTCCTCAGGAGAAAAATTCTGGTCGGAGTCAAGCGTGAATTCATTTTCTGAGGATTCGAGTCTCAATCGGCAAGCCGGCGCACACGTTTTTTCCTCGACCGAACACTGTGTTGCTCCGAGGCCGATTAAGGTCGGATTGATTGCTTCTTGGCCGCGTTGAATCTCCGACATCCGCTCGTTGAATTCAAATTGCTCCAAGTCGTCGTTTCCCATTGTTGAGTACATTTGACGGATATCCCGCGGGTCCTTCGCTCGAAAAGGGTCGATGCTCAAGATTGTGTTCAATTGTGATGCTCGTTCTCTCAATTCCTGCTCCCGGATAAGTCTTCACTCTTCTCGACAACTTTTACCTGATGATGCTTCCCATAGCATGTTTCTGTTTGATAAGTTCGAGCAAGGATCGCCCGTGAAGCAATCGCTTCGTTTGATCTCACAGTTTTCCTCGGCTTTCTTGTATTCTTTCGATGATATCCGCTTCGGGTCCCCGTGGGAACTCCCATAGCATTCCCGACGGGGCTCTTCCAGAATTCCCTGTCTCCCCGGACGGATCCAGGAGGAGGCTCCGTAGACGAAGGGCCATGGTCGATTCTCTGGCGGAGAGAGCCGAGAGAGCACCATAGGCATATGAAAATAGGCATACCATATGATTTAGGCATAATTATTCGGAAGCGGAGAAGTCTAAAAAATCAGGAAATTTCAGATTTCCCGCGGAAAATGAAGATCCATGTGATCCTGGGCCTCGGAACGGTCCTGTTGATTCCGACACTGGCCGCAGTCGTTCCGGAATTGCCGCCGAAGAAGCAAGCTCTTCTGATGGTGATGAGAAACCTCGGGCGAGACATTGGCTCAAGACTCCAACCGCTCTTCGAGGAGCTCCTGGTGGATACGAACGTGACAAATATTTGCATCGGTTCTCTCGTCAGAACCATGGCTGCTGCTCGCGAGAATGAGGAATGGGCTTTACGAAGTATGAGATTTCCTTCTTCTGTTTTGGAACTCTTCTGCAGTCTGTATCTCCGCGCAGATCGTTCCTCAACAGCCGTGTCACCAAAGCTAATGTCAACATTTTCGACATAGTACTCCTCTCGTCGGGCTCGTTACCGACCAGCATACTGGACGGCGGACTCGCCTCCTACGGTAGTTTCGATCAATGTCGGCGCGCCAGACGATACAACTCAGAGGGTCATTTAGCCTTCAGAGGTCAGTGGTGCGCGGTCACGATCTTAGCGGATGACGACATCGTGGAGCACATCAGGCCGTTCTCGTCTTTTAAAGAGGTTCGAATAACACTAAGATTATCCCTCGGCCGGGTTCAATCGAGGACTTCCATACCACGCGATGGGGGCCAGATGGGGAGAAGACTCGGAAGTTCCGAAGTCTTGGAAACCGACGGGCTGTCTCATAAGGGATTCACATATTTCTATAAGAATTCATTTCTTGTCATATTGGATGCAAGTTCGAACCCTCTCTGGGAGCCACAATGATCCCGATCGCTCTTTCAGTTCTTGGTACGGGCTCCAGGTCGAGATAGGATTGTCCCGAAGAATTTGAGGAAGTTGGACATCGGAATGAAGATAGGCGTATGCGTCCCCTCCTCATGCAATCAAGATGAACTCCACTACATTGTCAACAAAGGCAAGAATGGTTTGACGATATACGATGCGAATCGATTTCTGTGGAGGGAGACCTTTGGTTGTTGATTGACGAGCGTTGTTGGTGTCAATACGACACACCTGGAGACAGCTATGAGAAGCACGGCAACGCTAATCGACACAAATCCTCAGCGCTGATTGCTTATGACATATCAGCCGTTGTATCGGGATGTCAGACCGACGAAACTATCGCATTGAGTACCGCACAGAAGATTTCTCTGTAAGTTGGAGTTGGACTTGACGATGTCTCGCTCGGTTCGATTTTTCCAGTTTTTTAATAGATCTTATTTTCCCGATGCTGACAGGACATACGTGCTGATAACAGCTGCTCTATTGATCGTCGGGACCTTCCTGGAATGGAAAATCGAGAGAGGTGATAAGGAATCGAAAACGGTCATCAAAGTTCTAAGCTTCTTCTCGATCCGACGAAACACTGCGCGACTATTCAAGGATCCGAAAGACTCGACGAACGGGTCACTTCAGTTCATGAACGGGCTAAAAGTCCTCCTCTCGTTTTGGATCGTCGCGGGGCATACTTACTGTCTCCTTCAGCCAGATATGCTCGGTAGGGATTCTGTCATCATTTTCATTCATTCCTATCTCGGGATCCCGAAAGAGAATTCAAACTGATGAAAAACTTCACAGAAAACTTCTACGATGCCAGAGAAGCAAGCAAGACCTGGATTTTCCAGCCCATGATCAACACTTTCATCGCGGTTGAGGCCTTCTTCTTCATCAGGTAGAACATTGAGAGATAAATTCCTTAGGAAGAGCCTCTTCGGATCTCCCCATTCGATGCTCAACATGTTCACTTCTGCCTACGCAGTGGCTTCCTCCTGGGCTATCTCACAATCGTAAATCAGGAGAAGATCCGCAATGCCTGCCGGGGTCGTCATATCTCAGTGATTTATTTCACCGTCTTTCTGCGGTGGGTGTTTCAAGATGCGATATGAGGATGACATCGGAATCGAACCCTGATCACCGGCCCCCGTACATTATCTTATACAGTGCCACTATCCTCTGCTGCAGGCGATACGTCAGGACTATGCTTCCAGCTCTTGCAATGTTGACCTACAGTTTCCTGATTCCCCTTTTATATGACTCGCCGATCGCGATCGATGGCATTCTCGCTGCTTATGTCGGCAACTGTCCCAACAATTGGTGGAAGTTGCCCCTCCTCATAGGAAACACCGACCCTGCATCAGAACTGGTAGGAATACGGCGCTACTAGGGTCTCTATGCCGGTGCCGTCGACGGCATACGATTCTTTGGCGTTTCCTTCGGGGTCGATGCTCGCTCTCTCTAACGATCCCGGTCTTCGACATAAACGTTCTCCAATTCTTCCCAGTGCGCTATTCACACGTGGTATTTGGCCGTCGACATGCAAATTTTCGCTCTCGGATCGGCTTTCGCTCTACTTCTGGTGTTCAGACCTAAGATCGCTTTAGGTCTCAGTGTAACACTCTGCGTGGTGGCTGCGATCTTCACAGCCTACATCACATACATTATGAATTTCGCCTACATCATAACGGTCAATGACTTCGATTTCGAGTGAGTCATCCTTTCCGAGAATTTCCTTGAGGCGAGAAACTGTGGGGTCATTCATGTACATGAGTGCGCGAAATGGCCTCATCCTATATCTCGAGATATGCCGAGGGAAGGACGATTCCTGTGGGGAAATTCTCATTGTGTTCCGGTTACACAGGCGAGTCTTTCGGACCTTCGATTACGTCTACATACAGGCCTACCCTCATCTTCCGAACTATTTCCTCGGTCTCATCTGCGGATATTTCAGTGCGCGCAATCCCAAAACATTCCTGTCCTTGGTAATGACTCGGAAATTCCACGTCTCGGAAGATTATCTCCCTAACATTCGATTGCAGTACAGCGGTCCGAGAGATACCGTACGGATTCGAGATGTACTTCTCGAGCTCCTGCAATCGGGGATGAGATCCCCAAGCTGGCAAACGCCTCACTCAGCCTCTGTGGTTTCAGCGGATTCGGACTGTCATGTGGCTGATCTCCACGCTCATAGCTTCGTATGTCGTTTTCGGTACGGCGATCTGGTTCAATTACGGGTTCCCAGAGCAACTACCGGGATCAATCTACGCAGGTTTCCACAGGCCGCTATGGGGTCTGGCCATGATGTGGCTGACCTATGCGAACACGACAGGCCGAGGCGGTACGACGACATTACGTTTTTTCTCCGAAACTAATTTGGAACTCCCGCCAAAAATCTCTCGATTGATACAAAGAGATACTGACTCTTCTTGGATTCAGGCATCTTCAACGAGATTCTCTCGCACCGGATCTTCACGGTTTGCGGTCGCCTGACCTATGGCATTTACCTCATGCACTTGATAGTGATATCTGTCAAGAACGGATATCTCAAGGGTTCCGTATTGTACATCAATCAATTTCTAATGGTGAGTCGAAGACTATTTAGGAGGTGAACGACGTTTAGGTCTTGGCTCCACAATGCCTCATCGAATTCAGAGCCCTATGATAGAAGGAGTATGACTGGCCACTATGAGTGGCGATGACCTCTATAACCCTCGAACATTGCATCATGGAACGGGAACACGATTGGAGAATTTATTTTTCAGTTCAAGGACGCGCTGGGAATATTCGTGATGTCTATCTTCCTGGCCTACTATCTGAATATCTCCATCGAGGCACCCTTGGCCGCAATGGACGATATGATTTTCGGTGAGCGTCGGACAGCTAGATCGCCGAAGCAGCCACCGGCTCTGAAAGGATCAGATGATAAACGATACGTGATCAGTATTCGTCAGGATACTCTCCACACGAGGATGTGATGCCTCTGATCGAATTCGGCTCCGGACCCTGAAGTCCCTCGAGCTGGCATCCCGTCGCAACCGTGACGCTAAGCCTCTTCCCCAAACGGGGATGCAGGGACGCATTCAATTACCGGACTCCGTCCGATATCTCCACCTCGGGAGGCTGGAGATCCTCTCTCTCCCATCGCCGAAAGAATAAATCGTGATCTTTCTAATACAAAGCCGTGCGCTCGTTTCTTTCTTCGTGCCTTCCTTTTCAGGCGGAGTGACCGTCAGGTCGCGGGGGGACGTCCGTCACACTCGATGCGTGGCTCGGGCTCCGGTCGTTGTTCCCTCGAGATCCGTTCCTCGAGCGACTTTCGAACATTGCTCCGATCTCTTCGAGAGTCTTGTTCTTGGTTTCTGGTACGAAGAAGTAAACGAACACAAAGCTGAAGGCAATGACTCCAGCGAGGATGGAGAATGCTCGTGAAGGGCCCCACTTCACCATGAGATTAGGGAAGAATTTTGTCACAAGAAACGCACATAGCGAGTTGAACCCCACGCTCAGTCCTACTCCGACCCCCCGCGCGCGAACTGGGAGCAATTCACCCATGAGGAGCCAAGGCACTGGTCCAAGTCCGACGGAGAAGCCCGCGACGAAAATTGATAGAGATATCGCCGGGAGCCAACTCAGGTGATCCAACGCTGGACTTTTCTGTTCTTGCAGGACGTAGAAAGCGATCAGAAGAAGCATCCCGACGAGGGATATTGTGCTCGAGAGCAGCAGCAGCACTCGACGACCGGCGCGATCGATGAGCAGAGCCGCTACGAACGTGAAAACTACTTGAACCGCACCCACGATGATGACTTGAATCGAGGGTTCGATGCTCCGAGACGCTGAGGAAAATATTTCGTTCGTGTAGAAGAGTATCGCGTTGATCCCACAAGCCTGCTGCGTGCCCGCCAGGATTAGAGCGATCAGGAGCGGTCGAAGTACGGCAGGATCCTTCAGATAGGCCACGGAGAAATTGTTGCCGTCGCCTTCCTTGCTCTCCATCAGGAGTTCTCGTTGACTCTCGGCGAAGGCTGTACGACCGAAGAAGAAATAGAGAGCCTCGCTCACCATCGATTTCGGGCTGTTCTGTTTCATGAGCCACGCCGGAGACTCCGGGATGAAAATCATTGTCAGAACTGTGGCAAGCGTAGGTAGAAAGCACACGAAGGCCAGAGGGGTTGCTCTGAGCCAATCCTTTTTACCGAAAACATAGATAGCGAGGATTCCCACTACGATGCTTAGCGTGTGCCCTGTGCAGTAGATTCCGCGGCGCTCCGCCGGGGTAATTTCACTGATGTAGATGGGGATCACCATGCAGTTTATGCCGGCGCTGGAGCCGAGTAGAAACCGCGCGAGGTAGAGCATCTCGACATTTTGTCTCAGGAGAATCAGGATCCATCCTCCGGTGAAAAAAAGACAAGAAAATAAAATCGTTCCCACTCGCCCGAAACGTTCGACGAGAACGCCAGCGATCAAACTCCCGGTCAATGCTCCTACGGTGATAAGACTCCCGAACAGCGAGTAGTCTATGTTGGGGAAATTTTCTTCGATCTCACTCTGAGCAGGAGCTGCGAATCCGATCGCTGTTCCGACCGCGAACGATGCTGAATATGCGAAGAACACCGCCGAAGCATAATGGGGTTTCGTGTCCGGCTCGCTCATTATCCGAACGGATGGAGATACCCGGCCGAATCCGCGAAACACCGCGGTGTCTCCGCTCGATGAATCGATGACGGAGTACTGTGGGGCGATGGCTGGCACAAGAGAAAGTCTGTTGATCTCGATCGGCTCAAATCTATCCTTGTCCGTCGAGATAAGTTCATCGGGCGGTGGAGGGAACCGCCTGGTGGAATACCTCGTGGCTGTAGGCGCCGAGTGTGCAAGTCCGCCGCCAGCCGCCACCGAATCTCAACGGTCGAATTCGGTAGTCAATACTGTGATTGAAGCTGCTAAGGCGGCGGCAGAATGAGAGATTTCGACTCTAATTTCGACCTGAATTGAGGTTTTCAATCGCAGGAAATTTGTTGCGAGAAAAACGGTGTACTTTGGATCCAATAACGATGACGAAGACTCTTTTCATTCACGACAGCAAAAGTTTCTTGCCGCGTATATGACACATAGTTCCGATGTTAAGTTAAGGCATGCCCTTCCCTACATTGTTATTGGGATGGAAAATAAATTGTAAATAATCGTCTCTCTGATATTATTCCCAGTGGCTATCTCCTGCGCCGAGGTGCGCCGCTGTGACGCCGCGGCGTGCCGCCGCGCCGGGTATTTCTCCCCCGCCGCCGTCAACTCTGGTCGCGGCGCACAGCTCTGCTCTGAATCTCGAGTCGGAAAGCGGTCGCTCCCGCTCGAAGGAGAGCAAGGACGGACACCATTGGATACGGTGCTTTGGGAAATATCTGGATTCGGGGAATCTCGATCGATCCGTTCATCCGATGATTACGGAATACTGTGAAAGATTTTCTCGCTTCCCATGAACTAACCCGTAGTGAGCAGTGAACTCCTCGCTCCGAAATTTCTCCGAAATTGAGATTTCGACGAATTCCATGTCTTTGGCTTCTATCTCGGAGCCAGGAAAATTGTGGGGAATTTCCCCGGAAGTCTATCAGCTCTCGAGCTTCCAAATTCTATTGCGGAACCTGGAAATTTGTTCGTCCGAGAAGTCCTTGCTCGGAGCACCCGAAGCATCCAGATCTGAGGATATGCGGTCGGAGTTCGACATCATCTTTGCCTTAGTGTGGTGCCGGTAACATCCATGCGACGGTATCTCTCAGAGACGTTATTGTCAGCTGAGTATTTCCGCGAAGATAGCCCTCGATGTCCGTCGAAGCCCCAGGCCTTCTGGGCAAGTCTCACAGGCAGCGGATTGCACTACAAGCCAGATGGTTCAGTCACGGTCGTGCTGAGCCTACGAGTGAATCACACAGCCGCTCGCTTTCCAAGTTGCCGAAGAATGGCTCATCCATTTGTGGGCCAATCGAGCGAAATTAGCGGATACTTCAGTCTTCTCGAGTTTCCCTGCGAGAGAATGCTCATTTTCAAACAGATTGTTAGCGAATTGTTGGCCGATCTCTTGACAAGACAAACTTAGCTTGGGATTCGGACTACGTAAAATTAGCGGATATTTCTCGTATAACTTCGTATAATGTATGCTATACGAAGTTATGCATACATTATACGAAGTTATCGAAAATTGTGTGGTCTTTGACCACTCTACGTGGAACCACGACAAATAGTCATTGTCTATTGTGTGCGACCCTTGATTTACTAATTATTTATTTGTGACCGCACATGCTGGGGCTGCCATATTCGGAGTGCGACTTTTTACGATCACAGCTCCCAGTACCGATTCAGACGACCGTGTCACTCTCGGTTTCCGACCTGTCGAGGACACCTGATCGTTTGTTTTCGCAGAGGAGCCGAACGTACTGTTTGCGCGG